TGAATCTCCCCACGGACTCAACACACCTTCATGCCAAATATGGTGAAGTCTCATCAACAGGGGTGAAGTAGTAATAAAAAACGCCCATAAAAACTGCAAAATGCAAAACTGAAATTTTTTATGTACCCCTGCATGGACCCAATAAACATCCATACTATTTTTGGTGACGATCCATCCACATTCTGTAAAGTAGTTACATGGACAAGCAACAGACAGTACTATTATGTTTATATAGATTATTAAAACCTGAAATACGCTGATTTGGCTGGCTGGTTATTTTAGAACAAAGCCATGTTATGATATCTGCTGTGTCCACCACAGAGAATTGAACCTCAGGTTTGAGCATTGTAAGTCCATAACCTTACCTCTGTCCCACCAGGGGACCTGAAATAAGTAATTTAAAATTATTTTTACAAAAATTTACTTTTGACTATCATAGTTTCAGATTTCAGCACACTACCTGGACTGTTTGTTTTGTAAATTTGATGCAAAGCCATTTTAGGGCTACTTACACTATCTCTCCTTGATTTAGATGTGATAGACTAGAGTGAAAGCAGATAGTCAACACTGCCCACCACCAACTTGGGCTACTCTTTTAACAAATAAAAAGTGGGAGTAACTGTCATAATACCACCACAACTAAATGGTCAAGTATGTTCAGTGACTGGAGTTGGACTGTACGCTGGCAGATGTGATGTGAATCTGTGACTCTTCAATTGGAGGGAGGAGAGTCTGTGCTGTAACCATTGGTAAACTCTTCTGGCACGTAGATATAATACATATATAGATCTAAATATATACATTCCAAAACTATAAACAATATATATGTGAATTCTCAGATAACATTATATAAAAAGGATTGTCAGAAGTTTCAAATGTAAATAAATGTGTTTTATGGCCACATTTACAGAGAAAGATAGAGAAAAACAATAAACATGGTATCACAAATGAAAAAATGTACAATTTTATGATTTATTTTTATCATCTTAGTTCAAAAAAGCAATTATAACTGTATTGACAATGTCATACATTAGGAAATATGTAACTCTAATATCCAAGTAAAAATATTAGCAGAGCACCAGCACTGTAATATTCAATAACAACATTAAACTTAAAAACTACATACACATCCACAGAAATTCCATATGGTGTACTAAGAAAAAATTACCACTTTAGCATTTAAACATACAAATTTCTTCTTCTTTTTTTTTATCCCGCTTCTGACACCAATTTGTCACGTCTCTAGTCGTTTGTTAATTTTCCATAAAAATGCTTTCCGAAACTTTAGCGATACAAGTCCTTTCTTAAATAAAACTAGTTTATTCTTTCTCAATACAACTTTGCAATACACTTAATTTCCATAGTCACGCTATAACTTAAACAACGCTATAATTCACAACGAACGAACGATTCACGTACTTGACTCAATTGTCGTCTCTCTCTCTGTCTGCAATTCAATTCCCTCGAATACCGCACATCTAGTAAACACTCGAGGCTTCACGAAGGGACATGAATTTTCTAGAAGCTCATGACGTGTTACTAGCGTCACGTGACTTCCGCTGTCGTAACACTTTTCTCGTTCTTTTTGTTTCTTTGCTGTTCTTGTATTGCTGCCATCAAATCTTCTAAGCTGTAGTTTGATTTTCCACTTCTCGTTTCCATCTTCTTCTTTTTTCTTTTTTTTTCAGTCCAACTCTCTGACACCAATTTGTCAAGTCTCTGTTCGTTTGTGAATTTTCCGTAGAAATTTTTTCCGAGGAAACTTCTGCGATACAAGTCCTTTCTTAAATAAAACTAGTTTATTCTTTCTCAATTCAACGTTGCAATACACTTAATTTCCACAGTCACTTTAAGTTAAACTCAAGCTATAATTCACAACGATTCAAACACTTTACTTACGGTGCCCGCTTGACTCGATTATCCATGTCTATATCTTCAATCTCTCTATCTGCAACTCTATCTCGATTAATAATGGCTGGAGACGGCTTGAATGGGTAATGAAGAAAAACTATAA